GGTTCCTAACACTCATATAGCAGCTTACAACCATCTGTAACTCCAATTCCACAGGGATCTGGTACTCTCTTCTGGATTCTACAGGTACTGCATGCATGTGGTACACTTACGTAACACAGACAAAGCACTCCTCATACATATTTTTCAAAAGATATTGGACCTGAAAATGAACGAGTATTAAACCCTGCACTCCTCAGAAAACTGTTAACCTGACTGGCAACAGTTATGATCCAGGACAGACAGCAGTAGAGGGAGATCACTGAGCTATAGAAGATACTAGGAGCTACGTGGTAGTTGTGGAAGACCACCCAGAATGAGTTCAAGTGGTCTGGGATCTATCATACCAAATGCTGAAGCTGTGAGAGTGTGCCCTCATCTTCAGACAATGCTGAGATGGTGATACACTTTGACTACAGTCCTTGCCCTATACCAACAGAGTTCACCCAGCTATAAGCCCCACTTTACTAACCAGGACACGAGATCAGCAAAGTCAAAGCTAGAGCTGGAGATGTAACCCAGTTGGTAGAGTGTCAACCCAGCACATATGAAGCCCTTTATTCTACCCACCCCAGCACCATATAAACCAAACCAGGTATGAAAAGGCACACCTGTAATCCCACTACTTGAGGATTAGGAATTCAAGATCATCTCCATGCAGACGTCAAAGCTGCCCACCAGAGGAGCGGCACAGCTGGTGTCAGAGCTGAGAGACCAAACTTGAAGAGGCTGGGCACAGGACCAAGGCAGCCACCACAGGAGCATGTGGCAAGGCATCCGGTGGTCTAGGGCCAGCCTCTCAGTCTGACTTTCCCTGTGGTGTATTCAAGGCCAATTAGAAGGCTGGATGTAGCAGACTGGACTGGGCCCTACAGAATTATATGAAGCTTGATCTCAACTGTGAAACTACCTTTGAACTGTATCTTCAAGGATAGGCTTCTCATTCTACCATGCTGATGAAGTTTTTCTAGGTAGGGCTATGGTCCTTGAAAAGACCAAAGCAGCCACCTAGCAAATAGAGAAATAGAATACCACTTGCTGAGGTGATGTGCACCCCAGGGAAACCTGTCCAATGGGGACAAGCTACAGTGTGGATTTCTGGGGTGCACACAAGATACCCACAAGCCCTACACCTATGACATATTTCCCTCACATATCCGTGACCAATGCAGGTCCCAATCCTCAAAAATGACAAAATTGGGCTCAGCCCAGGCAGGATTTGGACCTGGTAAACACTCAGCATTCCTCAAAAACCTTATAAAGTGGATTTCTATTTGCCAGAAAAAGTCATTACCTTTTTAGCCGCTCCTACAGCACCGCTGCCCCCAATCTCCAGAGAGGACATGTAGTTCTCTATTAACAGGTTTCCACACTAATTCCTAGACTGTTCCAGCCAACCTGCCCTCCTCCTTCAACAAAACACCTTACAAGACTCTTCCGCTAGTTTTGCTATCTTTTCTGCTCCTCTCTGTCCCCTATGATAATGGAGCGGACACACTGGCAGTTTCTTTATTACACCCCTTGGATGTTACCAAAGCCTTGTTTTTCCATACCATTAAGGGTTTTAGAGCATGGTTCCTGGGGTGAATCAAGAAACAGACCTGGGGAAAGCCCTTACAAGCAGAGAAAAACAAACAAAACCCTTCAAACCTTCTCTCTTGTAAGTGTGAATGGATGAGGTGAATTTCAAAGGAAGGGTTAAAGACCTGCTTGACAAAGGAGAAGTGGCAAGAGGGTGTTACAGTGGTCTGAGGACAGACATGTCAGAGTCAATGAGAGAGGGTACTATCCTAAGGTTATGGGAAGAGGTCAGTAGGGTAAACACAGCAAGGCTGCCAAGAGGTGAAGGGTCAGGGCATCCAAGGGTCAACAGTAAATAATCCTCGGTGTAAAGCCTGGAAAGAAGCAGTGTCTGCCAAGGTGGATTAGAACTGCAGGGATGTAGGAGAGCCGCAGTGCCGCAGGTCTAGAGACTAATCACCTTATCTCGGGGTAGGCTGTTTATAAGTTCATTAGTTCATAGTTGGCTTGCCTGTATGTATGTCCGGGCACCATGTGCATGCAACAGTCAGAAAAGGGTGTCAGATCCCTTGCAGCTGCAATTAAAATGCCCATGAGCTGCTATATGAGTGCTGGAAGCTGGACCTGGTCCACCGGAACAGCCAGTGTTCTTAACTGATGCACCATACTCCTGTCCATCTCAGGCTAGCATTAGCTGCTGGAACCACCATCCTTCCTCACCTCTGTCAGAACTAACAGCCAGTGCCTTAGAAAACCTTTGGGACCTATTGATTCAGCAGACCACTCGCTCCCATCAACCCCAAAGCTAAGAATGGCATCATATGGCCTGAGACCTACAGGAGAGCCTCCTCCATCTTGCTGTGACCACCTTTCTGATGACGTATTTTGAAATTGCCTTAATAATGATCTTCTTTGCTGTGTAAAACAATAAAACTTCATGAAGCTTGTCTCCACAGTGAAACAAGAAATTTGAGGTAACGTAAATCTGTGTTCCTGAGTCACGGTCACACAAATAGGGCTCCAGAATAAACTATCTCTTTATTCCCTTTAAGGTGAAAGATGTGGTTTTTTTCACATCAACACTGGAGATCCCAGCAGGGTGTCATCTGAATCCCTCATTTCCAATTCTGCTTCTCCAGGTGTCCCACAAGAGCTATCTTGGAGGGGTATTTGTCTGCACCCCATTTGGCAACAGGACAGTTTCCCTCGGGCTGAGACCATGCCATTACTACATTGTGCTTAATTCAGAGCACTATCAAGGATTGGGGATCTGGGAGCTGAGGAGTGCTTTTTATTGTTTTGTTTGTTTGCTTGTTTTTGTTTTTGTTTTGTAGCAGAGTTTCTCTGTAGCTTTGGAGCCTGTCCTGGAGCTAGCTCTTGTAGACCAGGCTGGCTTCGAACTCACAAAGATCCGCCTGCCTCTGCCTCCCAAGTGCTGGGATTAAAGGCATGTGCTTTTTAATCAAATCACATGACATTCTCTATCATGGTGTTCACTGCCAGTGACCAAGTCAAAGGAGCAGCAGATGACAATTGAGTTTCAAGAATTCAGCTCACCAGAATGCAAAGCACTGAAGGGTTAATCTCCGATAGGCAGGGTCCCCGGGGCTTCGGGTCCATGTCTCTTGCTACTGCTGTGCCTTCACATATTTGCCGCTGTTATTTTTCTCTGGTATCTGGCATGGTGTAAATAGATGTGGGGAACCCCCACTGCCTTTTCGTATTGTGATTCTCACAGAAATGGCCCCCTCTACTAGGCATTTTTACTTGTGGATTAATATGAAGATGATTTCCTCTTAAGCTGTACAGCTTGACTAAAGTAATGATTTTATGCAATAGTTTTAGATTAAATAGAATTTTGATGATTGAAGGTTTTAAACAAATGAAATAAGGGATTGTTAGTTTATTGGGAAAATTAATATAGGCAAAGGTAGGATACAGTATTGCCCCTGCTCCTGATAAAGCAGGGACTGCAGAGGACAGAAAATAGGAACAAGGAAGTGTCACACAGCTAAAATTTTCACTTGGCTTGAGTGGTATAGACTATGGTTTAGGTTAATGATTAAGAAAACAATCCAATCCCAGGAGTCAACCAACTCAAATTCTTTTTGATGTTGGGAAATGTAAAACAAAGGTCTAAATAATTGCCTTCATGTGATGAAAAAGCAAAGAATTGGATGGTTAGTTAATTAGACAGGACTCTAAAATACAAAAAACAAGTAACTTGCTTTTCTGGCAGTTACAAAAACTACTGCCTAGGTAAGCAGCTATGGCTGGAAGGCTCCCAACCTGTGAGAAGTCTCAAACAAGAATGCTTAACTGAGCGTGGGCTTTGTAAGAAAATGCATGAGGACGCGGTAAGAAATATAATGGGGTTGGCCTATTCCAAAGAAAAAATGTTTTTATGGTGATTATGTAGTAACTATGTAATTTCTGGTTCTGAGGAAACCCTCCTCTTGTAACGGACTTGGCGTGGGGAATATAAAAAGAGTGTCTGAAAAATAAAGTAGAGGGGAGGAGATCCAGCCAGAGGGGTAAGTGTGTGCCTGCCTGGCTGGCCAGATGTCCCGGGAACAGGGTACAGGCCCCCTCCAATTCCCTAAACTGCAGGGTGTCCCCCTGCTACTGGCTCTCTCTAGTTACCCCATCCCATCTTACCCCCAAGCTCTCCTTTCCATCTGTGTGGTCCTTAGATCCACCACCACAGCCTGCTGCAGGGCGGTGGGGGGGGGGGGGCAGCATAAGATCTCCTGAGTAAATTGGGAGCATGGGAACTTTAAGGGAGGGTGGAGGGTTGAAGGGGGGGGAGAGGCAGGGAGGGGAGCAGAGAAAAATGTAGAGCTCAATAAATATCAATAAAATAAAATTTTAAAAAAAGGAAGGAAGGAAGGAAGGAAGGAAGGAAGGAAGGAAGGAAGGAAGCTAAATTCAAGTGGGGGTGGGTGGGAGTGGCAGCATACACCTTTAATCCCAGCACTCAGGAGGCAGAGGCAGGCGGGTCTCTGTGAGTTCGAGGCCAGCCTGGTCTACAGAGGGAGTTCCAGGACAAGACACCAAAGCTACAGAGAAACCTTGTCTCAGAAAAAAAAACACCCCCCCCCAAAAAAAAACCCAAAATCTAAATTCAATCCGCAAACCCCACTTTAAAAAATCAGATACAGTGTGGTACATCTGTATTTACAGCACCTATCTGACAGGATGGATGGACGGTTGAGAAAGGAGACTATCTCCTGGAAGCTAACAAAACCGCCGGCCCGGACCATGCAGCAGCAGCAGAAACCAGAGAGGAGAAAAATGGACTCCTAGAAGTTGTCCTCTGACCTCTACATGTGTGCAATAGCTCACAAGTACCAGCAGTCACACCCAAATAACAGACTAATGGTTGGTTCCAATATCACCACATAGGCTACGGGGGGGGGGGGGGGGGGGGGGGGGGAAAACAGACCTAAACCAAGCCCAAAAAAGAAAAGCACCGTGAACAGTAAATGCCCCAGAGTTCATTTATTCAAAGTACACCTGTACAATAAAAAAGTATTAATTATTGATGGTACAAGTTCAAGATAGAGACTGTTAATAAAAAGTAAAACTAATAGTTACAGGAAGATGTTTCAGTGGGTAAAGGTAATTAATGATCACCAAGCCTGGCAATCCAAGTTCAAACCCCAGGATCCACATGATATGAGATCACTGACTCTTCTGATAGCCAATACACCTAGCAGCCTGTGTACATAAATATATACAGAATAAATGAATGTACGGCTTAATAATAAACTGCCCTCTTCTAGTATGCAGTTAATTCTACGGAAAATTCCACAGAATTGTGGGAATACATACAAGTTCATACAGGCACTGACCAAACACAGGCACATGTGTACGTACACACACACACACACACACACACACACACACACACACACACTCCATACGTATGCCCATTTATATAATCACCCTACTATTACCATGGCTGGTAGTTAAGGATTTTACTGGACTCCCACAATAAATGGGAATATCATTGCCTTAATTTCCCATAAACTTTCTAATAATTTGGTAAAATGTGTCTTATATTCTATAGAAACACTTCTGAAATTATTAGTCAAGGTTAACCTGAAATGAAATTCATGTTTAACAAGTGTGCTTATTGTTATTAATCTGTGACTCACTTTCCTCATGCATAATAATGTGTTATGTCTCAGCAATGTATAACTAGATTTGTTTTCTGTAATATTAATCAGGTGATGTGCAATTTGATGGCCATAAAAAGAACTTCAAGTAGATAGAAATAAATTTCATTTTGGAATATACTAGTAAGCTAGGAACTCTTTTCTCAGTAAACCATGTTCTATAAAACTGCACCTGTAAAACCTGTGGTATGAGCCATGTAGTCTATATGCTGAGTTCTGTCCTGCTTAGGACCTTCCTTCATTCAGAACACACATAGGGCATCCCCACCCATGAACTGATGACGTGACTCATCTGTGATATAAGTAATAATTTCCCAACTGTGGCATTCCAAATCCTTCTCTTCAATATGAGTTGAGAGACAAAGGCCTTGCCCTCGTAGCACGACTAATACAGACCACAGAAGATACTGGGGTTCAACCTGAAGATCAGAAAACAAAGCAGTCAAGCCACGAGAGAGCTCTTGCCTCTATGAAATCTCCACACTGAAAAGAGAGCGAGTTCCCGTCTCCTCCCATCTTACACTCTCTAGTGCTGGGATTGAAAGCATGCACCACTACCGCCTGGCCTCTATGGCTGACTAGTGTGGCTAACTTTGCACTGTGATTTTCAGGAAAGCTTCATTTGTTAGATCATCAAAAGTATCCCTATACACCCCAGCATGAGACACGTGATGTCTAGAAAGTGAGCCTGCTACTGAAAGCTGCTCCCCACTCAGAGCACAAAGGGTCTCTCCCGGGTGACGTCATTTGTTCATGCTATTGGCGCAGGGCATTAGGAAGCAAGACTTTCCCACAGAGGCTTCACCGTGTAACCTGATGGCATGCTCCATCTCAACATTCCTAAGGCTTGTCCTCAGTGTGCGTCTGTACATGAGACGTCAGCTCGGCCTTGTGTAAGAACACTTTCCCACACCTCTCACAGACGAAAGGCGCTTCCTTCCTGTGAATCAGCTTATGCTTAGAGAAAACCGACCTGCTCCGGAAGGTTTTCCCACAGTGAGTGCACACATAAGGTCTCTCTCCTGTGTGAATTCGCTCATGCTCTTGGAGTTGGACCTTAGTACAAAAGGCTTTCCAACAGTTGCTGCATTTGTAAGGTCTCTCTCCCGTGTGGATTAAAAGATGCACCTTCAGTTCAGATGGAGAACAAAATGATTTCCCACAAAAATTGCATTTGTAAGGCTTCTCAAGCAGATGAATTTTTTCATGTCTGCTCAGTGTTGACAATTGTTTGAAGGCCTTTCCACACACAGAGCACACATAAGGCCTCTCCCCTGTGTGAATTCGAGAATGCGCCTTCAGTTGAGATGTTTTACTAAATGATTTCCCACAGTCAGGACATTTACAGGGCTTCTCTCCCGTGTGGATCTGATAATGGGATTTCAGCTGGGACGGATAATTAAACAGCTTCCCACAGTCGGGGCACTTGTAAGGCTTCTCGCCAATGTGAAGCTGCTGGGGGGATGTCAGAGTGGACTCCTGGAGGCCCGGCTCACATTTCTGAGAGACAAAAGGCCTCTCTTTAGTGTGAATTAACTGATGTTTACGAAAAGATGACCTGCTACTGAAGGCCTTCCCACATTCGGTGCACACAAAGGGTCTCTCCCCCGTGTGAATCCGCTCGTGCTCCTGGACTTGCTCCTTGGTGGAGAAGGCTTTCCCACAGTGGCTGCATTTGTAAGGTCTTTCTCCTGTGTGAACACGAGAATGTGCCTTCAGCTGGGACATTTTACTGAACAGTTTCCAACACTCGCGGCATTTGTAAGGCTTCTCTCCTGTGTGATTCTGATAGTGTACTTTCAGTTCACATGGAAAGTTAAAGGACTTCCCACACTCGTGGCATTTGTAAGGCTTCTCCCCGGTGTGGCTGTGGCAGTGCACCTTCAGCTGGGACGGGTAATTAAAGGACTTGCCGCACTCCCTGCAGCTGTAAGGCTTCTCCCCAGGGTGAAGCTTCTCGTGTCTGTCTAGTATTGACTTCTGGTTGAAGGCCTTTCCACACTGAGAACACACATAAGGCTTCTCTCCTGTGTGAATCCGCTGATGCACCTTGAGCTTGGCTGTTTTGCTGAATGACTTTCCACATTCGTGGCATTCGTAAGGCTTCTCGCCCGTGTGACTTTGACGATGCACCTTCAGCTGGGATGGAAATTTAAAGGACTTTCCACAGTCATTGCATTTGTAAGGCTTCTCTCCATCGTGACTTTGCTTATGGGACATCAACTCTGACTTACGTAAGAAGGCCTTCCCACATTTGTCACAGATAAAAGGCGTGTGATTCTTGTGGATCAACTCATGTTCATAGAGAGCTGACCTGTCTCTGAAGGCTTTTCCACACAGTGTGCACACAGACGGTTTCTCCTCTGTGTGAACTGGCTCATGCTCTTGGAGCGCAGCCTTAGTACCAAAGGTTTTCTCACAGCGGCTGCATTTGTAAGGCTCCCCTCCAATGTGAAGTGGATGATCCGCCTTCAGCTGGAATGGATAACTCGATGAATCTGACACACAAAGGAAGGCCTTCCCACCACTGAACGAAACAAGAGGTCTGTCCAAAGTGAGAGTGATCTCAGGTTTGGGCAAAGATATGGCATAGAGTACTTCCCCGCACCGAGGGCCTTGATCTGCTTTCTCCTGAGAATGGTTTTCATGTACCAGTGGTTGTTGATAGTTGAGAACTTCTCCATTCCCAGTACTTCGGCACGATTCTCCTCCATGAGCAGCCACACAGTTAGCATTACAAGAGCCTCGTATCAGGAGCTGACTGGATGCGACAATGTTAATAAGCTGCTCGGTGACACTGCTTTCATTCTGACCATTTGCTCCGAAGTTTAGCCCCAAACTTTTTGGAAGCAAGCAATATTGTGGAAGATTCCCTTGTGTAGAAATGAGGTAGGGTCCCAAAGGAATGGTTTCCCTGGGCTTTTGATATTCAGGTCCACTATCTGTGCTCAGAGTTTTCTTAAGGAAGGTGCCAGGAGGCAAGGGTAGAATCTGGCTTTGTTTATCTCTTGTAGCAGTATCAGAATCCTGCCATAGTTCTTGCAAAAGTGAACACCACAAACCATTTCTTGAGACTTCGCTGGCCATATCACTATGAACTGAAGCTTTCTCAGATACTTTCCGTGGTGAGGTTTCAATTTCTGAGTCTTCTAGGAACATAAAGAGATGAAAGAATAAACAGAGTGAAGAGGATGAAGGATGAATGATACAGAGGGACTGTGACTGAATATGAATGCCTAAATCAGTTACTAATGATGCTGACAATTAGTAAAAGGAAGCTAATCACAACTGTATACAATGGAGATTACCTACATAGCAGACATTAGTATAATTATGACAACAATGGATCAGAGGATGAAGCATATAGACTATCCAGCTGAATTTTTAAGATAGCAATATATAAACGTGAAAAAAACTTCAGTGATAGTTCATTTATATTTTAAAAAATAAAGCTTGCCTGAAGTTCAGAGAGTAAAACAGCCACACTGGCCAGTCTTACAGACCAGACCACAATAACACACACCTTAATCCCAGTAGCCACACTAATTTGCCATAGAAACTGGGAGGTACAGGCCTTTTATCCCAGTGGTACACACCTTTAATCCCAGGACCAGAGAGGAATATAAGACGGGAGGAGACAGCTCTTAAGACACAGTCTCATTCTGAGATTCCTGGGAGTGAGGTCGAGGCAAGAGCCAGTGGCTGGCTGTTTTACTCTTCTGACCCTTTAGGCTGAACCCCAATTTCTGTCTGTGAGTTTTTATCAATTGCACTAGAAAGAGCATCAGAAAGTTACTGAATCTTATATAACAGAAATTAGCTGTGTGTTTCTAACTAAATGTATCAAAACCCAAAGTGACATCATTTGCTGCAGTAACATTTTGATTGATAACATGTCTTAAGTGGAATCCATACATCACATAAGGAAAACTTAACCTAAATAAGAAAGTCTCAGACATGATGGCACAGGCCTTTAATCTCAGCAGTTGGGAGGCAGAGGCAGGTGGATCTCTGTAAGTACAAAACAGCCTGATCGACAAAGTGAGTTCTAGGACAGCCAGGGCTACACAGAGACCTGCCTGAAAAATAACAGTAATAACCAAAAAATACATAAGTAAAATACCTCAGAAATAAACAAATAACGGAAGAAGGAGACGGTCTGTACTGATGCCGATGGGGTCAAGAAAAACAACTTGTGCATTCAAAAAGGAAAATGGGTGGGGCCAAAATAATAAAACAAATTAAACACCAAAGAAAATAGTTCAGAGAGAAGGATAATCAGCCAGACCAAAACAAAGACATTCTAACTTGAATGAGGTAGATTCCAGTTTCTGCTCTCCCAAAATGAAGGAAGCGAATCCTCTTGCAGGAATGTTCTCATCTAAACAAGGCAGCAGAGACTATAAGGTCGGGGACCAAGAAACCGTGAGAACACAGTGAGAACTGCACATTCAGAAGGAACAGAGCCTTTAAGCAAACCTGCCACAGAATGAGAAGAGAAACATACAGAACACTAAGCCTAAGGTGCCACAACTAAGGGGAAGAAATAGACCAGCACAGGAAAGGAAAAAAAATAAATAAATAAACTCAGAGGCAGACAGGAAAAGCAAAGACAGACACAAAATAAACAATAATAAGAACCCCAAGGACAATATGCTAATTCAAAAGTCGGTGGTTAGAACACACAAATTACAAGTCCTTCCTCCATTACTTGGACAATATAGTAACCAACTTGGCTAATGTCAGATGTTCACGAACAAGTGTGTATTTACACATGGGGGTGTACTGGTCATCATTAGTAGAAAATGGATGAGTTAGTTCACTTAGGTTCATTCATATCTATGGTCAGAGAAGCTGGTCCCACAAACTCGCCTTTCATAAAGAAAGTCTCACATTGCCTTACACCAATAATAAATGGATTTCAGAATTAACCACAAAAACTCCAAAGAGAAAACAGCATAAAGGTGACCACCACCGGGGACTTGGTGAGACAAACTGACAAAGGCCTCATGAAATCTACCCCACCTGGGAAGCAATGGCTCACCTGGACACTGCTGGCCTGGGAATTCAATCTTCCCTGCCTGTGCCTCCTTTCCTTTTTCCATCCTAAAGATGACTCCAGGGCTGGGAATGGGGTATCCTGTTAACCAAAAGCATATTAGATTTTGGGGTCATTTCTTGTCTTTAGATGATACAATGAAGCTTGACACTGCCTCACTGCTAAAACCAAGTCAACATTTTCTATTTTGTATAACTAATACTTGCAGATACACAAAAGAAATGAAACATCGGGGCAAATAAAGCAAACACACGGGGGGGGGGGCACTTCTGATACCCCACCATGTTTTACAAAGAGAAGGAAGGAAACCTCAATGGAACTCATCCTGGATCCCCAGGTGGCTGTGCTCACCCACTGCCAAGAGGTGGCTGTAGATCTCCAGCATCACGTCCTGGTACAGACGTCGCTGGGCGGAGTCCAGGTGCTGCCACTCCTCCTGGCTGAAGTCCACAGTCACATCCTCAAAGGACATCCATCTCTGTAACAACGTACCACAGTTCAGGGGTGAACAACTCAACGTCGGAAAACAGGAAAGTTTGCATAAGTTAGGTTTTCAATGATGGCGCACTGCATTTCCCACTAAGCTGGGGGACAGAGAGCACTCCTCAATCCTGCCGTCCATCATACAGTCACATTTCTAAGGAACTAGAAGAGAATTCACTAAGGAAGAGTACACGGCACAATGCTGACTGAGCAACCATATTCCAGGTTGGAGTTAGCTGGACCCACTGGACTCAACATTATGAAACAGGCATTTAGTAGCTGCTTTGCTAAAAGTATTAACTCCTCACTTGGGAACTAAATGCCAACTAAGAGCCTGGCATCTCTACTTCATTGTGTGTCTGTCTCCTTGGCTCTGGGTCACCTACTGACGTCTGTACATGAGCACATGTTCCTCCGGGAGCACCAGTCTAAACATCCCAACTCCCTTCAGAGATAAAGGGACAAAGATTGGTCACTGTTCTTGTCCTTAAATCTTCTTCCTGAGGCTGTGCCCTGAGCAGAAGTAATTACCCTACAAGAAGGGTTCCTCTTCTTGCAATAGGGACTTCTTAGTTATACTTGTGTCTGCTTACTAATCAGCTGTGAAAACAAGACCCCTACCACCTGGGTCCTAGCACCAAAAGCAAACAAACAACAACAAAATTTCCTTTTCTTCCTCTTCCTCTCTTCAAAGAGAGCCTTATTCTATGGCCTCAGCAGCCTGGAACTTGTTGCATAAATCAGGATGGCCTAGGACTGCCTCTGGGTATATAATATTTTCTCAAGATGTTTCTATTAAGTATTTTGTAGAGGTGAAGAGAAAACTAATAAGAGAATACACCTGCATTTTATCTTATTGGCACTTCTTTCTCTCTGTATACCTGTACAACGCATTTCATAAAACTCCCGATACCACCTAGGAAAAGAATCTTCACGCAAAAAATATTTTAATTCACCAACCAGAGACACAGATGACATTATTTGAACATGGCAACTAAAAAAGAAAAAAGAAAACACAAAATCTTACATATAGCTACTGCTAATAATGCAAACTTCACTCCCTCTTCTGAAGCCCCCACATGCTGTAGATGTCTCTCTGCCCCTCGGCTTGTTGATACAGACACCTCTTGAAACCATTTCCAAGCCAACTCGGGATCCTTGGTCCACCTGAGTAGAGCTTGTGATGGTCACTGTGAATTGCTAACTAATGTGAGAAGACCTGTCTTAATTATAGCCAAGCCCATGCTCTGAGCATGACTATAGAAGGTGGGGGGAAGGGGAATTAGAGAGATGACAGCAATTTAGAACATCTGTTGCTCTTGCAAAGTACCTGGGTTCAAGTCCCAGTGCCTACATGGTGGCTCACAACCAGCTATAACTCCAGTCCCAGAGGATCTGATGCTTTCTTCTGGTCTCCAAAGAACCAGGCACACACACTGTACACACACATGCAAGCAAAACATTCATCACACATATAAAATTTAATAATCCCATGATACGGACTCTTCAAATTACACAGTTCACAATGCTGAGTCTCCCTTGGCTAATGACAGGCACACACATGTGTCACCATCATGTTTAGATTTAAAGACCAGCTTCCTAGAAATATAAGAATGGGAATTCATGCTAAAGGATAGCATCGGCAACTTAGCCAAATTCAGAATTTGTCACAGTCTAAAAAATAACCCAAAGTTCTTCAAGAAATGATTAACATGGGGGAGAAAAATTAAGAGATTAAAAGAGGCTAACATGCTTTTTAATTAAGCTGGCTGTGTGAGCACTGGCTGGACCTCGAGAGGAAGACTCCACATATGGAAGTATGATCAGGAACAAATGACTTAAAGGATTAATGGTTATGTTAAGTAGGTTATTATCTCAGAGATAAAAACCAACACAGAGAAAAAAGTGTAGGCTCTAATATTTGGGTTACAAATAACCTAGCAATGGAAAAGAAACAGGATGGGACCTATGCTGATGATCACTCAGAGAAGGGCCATTCTTTTACTCATGGATGAAAATCGTAACACTACAACACTGATAATCTGAAGGTGCCCACGTGCCTACGGGGCACATGGCTATTTCTTTCTAGGCCTTCAAGTACTTTTGACAGATCTTCCAGGCCGACACTAGTGACACTGGCAAACAGGCAGAGGTGCCACTCATCTATCGTTCTTCTGTGTGAAAAATATTTTGTATTAAAATTCTCTACATTAAAATAGAAGGCATATTACTGTAACCATAATGGATAATTCCAGAAGTACTCCGTTGTGCCGGAAGCAAAGGCCTGCATTTTGAGATCTACATTTTGGTTACAGCCATCTTAAGCTCACAAGTTAAGAAAAATATTTACCTCTATCCCCTCTGCAGGGTCTAGGAAATCAATCTGGTATCTTATCTCCTAGCAGAGACCTGCAGACACCAGGCTCTGGAACACATTAGCATTCTCCTTGGTTAGTCAACAATCACAGACCCTCAGTATTTACTTATCAGCTGGGGATGTCTCCGGACCTGAGTTCCAGCAGACCTGAGCTTCCTGACTCCCTTCCCTTCCCCCTGATGCCTTTCCCTTACCCCCTTTGCCCGTTTGCTATATAACAGCTTCTGAGAAAGAATAAACGGTATGGCTTGATCAGAAATCCTGTCTTGCCGTCATTTCTCGCGTCTCTTGTCTCCTTTCATTCCTCTCCACTAGGTTTATCAGGGAGCCCCTGAATGTCTAATGGAGAAAATATCAATGATAACATTACTATGAGAAATTTCCTTTGGAGCATTCAACAATGTATTAAAAATTGTTGCCTCCTCTGGTAGAATGCCTGCAGCCAGGTTAGTGACACACTTTAATTTCACCACTCTGAAGACAGTTGGCAGGTGGATCTCTGGGAGTTTGAGGCCAGCTGGGCCTACATAGTAAGTCTCAGGACAACATAGAGAAACCCTGCCTCAAAACCAAACCAAGCCCCCCAGAATGCATGCAGCCCCCAAATTTATATCAACCTTTGATAGATGATCAATTCTGAGAGTAGAGTCTTCACGATTGGGACTTTAAGAACACATGACAACAGACGGAGAAGAAGAACATGAGCAGCTGGGCAGCAGACCTCACCAGACAACCACTTCGCCTTAGTAAGTGGTGAAAGCAGGGGAGACTCTGACTCAAACAAACACAGTAGAGTTCAGGGTCAGCCTCAGTTACACAGCACTCTGTATGCTGTGAATACCACTGGTGAATAAAGAAACTGCCTTGGCCTGTTGATAGGGCAGAACTTAGTTAGGTGGGGAAAGCTAGGCTGAATGCTGGGAGAAAGAGGGCGAAGTCAGAGAGAAGCCATGGAACCACTGCCAGAGACAGACATGCTGAAACTTTGCCGGTAAGCCACTGCCACGTGGTGATACACAGATTAACAGAGCTGGGTTAAACTAATATGTAAGAATTAGCCAATAAGAAGCTAGAGCTAATGGGCCAAGCAGTGATTTAATTAATACAGTTTCTGTGTGTTTATTTCAGGAGTCTTGGCAGCTGGGAAATGAACAAGCAGCTTCCTTACAACATTTAACAAAAAGGAAAAAAAATAATATTTAACAGTACAAAAAATTCAGAAGGAACAAAACAGATAACTAAAAAAGCAAAACTGAACAGCAAAATAATATAAACAATAAAAATATAAGTGAAAAAGATATATGAATCATAAAAATCAGAAGCAAAGTTCCTAAAAAATACTAAAACATAAGTAAACGCCAACAAAAAACAAAGAGGGAAAAGAAAGAAGCCAGGTGTGATGACAGATGCTTGCAGTCCGAGTCCACAGAAGGTGAAGGCAGGAGGATGAGGAGTTCAAGACAAGTGTCAACTACACAGGGAGTTTGCAGCTAGTTTGGGCTGGAGAGATGGCTCAGCAGTTAAGTGCACTGCCTGAGTTCAATTCCCAGCAAACACAAGGTGGCTCACAACCATCTGTAATGAGATCTGGTGCCCTCTTGAGGAAGAGACCTGGTCAACCATCCTCATGAAACCCAACATGGACCAGTTCAACAGGACCACCATCTACGGACTGCCCATGCTTCAGCATTGCAGGGCATAGATTTCATTTTCATATCAAGAAATACAGAAGACTGGGAGTAAGGAAGAAAAAGAACAATGACCAAATAACTAGATGCTCAAGAAATAAATGAACATCCACATATTTATAAACATAGACATTAAATCGCAAGCAAATGCTCTGTTTTCAGTAAGCTGACTGGCAGTGATCAATACGATAGCTGAGCCTGCACAGCTCTATCTTGCTGCATTTACTCCTGAGCAGGAGAAGTGCGGGGTGTCAGAATGCAGTTTTCCAAACTGGCTTGACTAACTGATACTCTCAGCAGTGGCACACTGCTCCTTCTGCTTCCCTGGGACACAAGCACATCAACACTTGATATTTTTGTGGGGATAATTTTAGACACTCCAATGGAAGGAGCCATGGCAATTATACATACATTTCCCATTCAGCTGAGGAAGCTCAGCTTTTCCTGTTTTCATTACTACACAAGCAAGTCTCTTGCTCATTCAATTGTATGTGGAAGAAGCTTGCACAAGAAGTTAGTCCAGGCACTCAAGACATAGAGGTAGTCATATTTCTGTAAATTTAAGGTCAACCTGGCCTACAGAGCAAGGGTTACTGAGACCTTCTTTCCTTCTGTGACTTTCTCTCTCAGGAGGTCTCTAAAACTAGAGAAAGAGTGACTAGGGAAGGGGCACAAAGTGGCTAAGGATCATGACATGCTGATGAGACCCAGACAACAGAGGAATGGAGGACACTGGTAGACAGTGTGCACAGGATAAAAAAAAAAAAAAAAGACACAGAAAGCTTAAATTTTTTAAGCTCATAATATCCGTCCAGAAGCCACATTTCAAAATATCACGAACTACAAGAACAGGACGAAATGCCATTAATCAAACATCAAAAGGTTCTTAAAATTCCCTTTTTTTAAAAGATTTTTTTTTTTTAAATTTTATGAGTGCTTTGTGCCTGCAGGCTTATGCATCCCTGTGTGTGCAGTAGGCAGAGAGGCCAGAAGAAGCCAGTAGATGCCCTGGAACTGGAGTTACAGTTGTGAACTGTCTAGGAATTGAACCTGGTTCCTCTGCTAGAGCAGCCAATGTTCTTAACTGCTGAGTCATCTCTCTGGCAACCTAAAACTCCTTTAAAACAGAACACTAACTGAGCTGAAGATGGTTCAGCAGAGTAGAAAGAACGAGGTCCCACAGTTGTCCTCTGACTCTACACTTTTGTGACATGTGTACACTCAAAAGACAGAGCAGCCAGGTGGTGGCAGCGCACACCTTTAGTCCCAGCACTGGGGAGCAGAGGCAGGCGGATCTCTGTGAGTTCAAGGCCTGCCTGGTCTACGAGAGCTACTTCCAGGACAGGTAGAGCTGTTACACTGAGAAACCCCGTCTCAAAAAAATAAAAATAAATAAATAAATATTTGGAAAAAAGAATGAGGGAAGCAGCACATTAAAAATAAATAGTACAGAGAGATAGCTCAGCAGTTAGGAGCACTAGCTGCTCTAGCAAAGGACCCAGGTTCAGTTCCCAGCATACAAAGGTTGTTCACAACTCCAGTTCCAGTGGATTCTGCATCCTCTCTGGCCTCCTCACACAGTGTATATGTGCAAAATCATGCAGGCACAAACTCACAAATAAATATGTTTTAAAGCTTTAAAAATAAATAGCTAAGAATGGTAAAGCACACTTTTAATGTCAGCGTGTGGGATGCAGAAGTAACCAGATCACTGTGAGTTTGAGGCCAGCCTGGTCTACATAGCAAATTCCAGGGCAGCCAGGATACACAGTGAGAACCTTGTCTCAAAAATGAATGAATGAATGAATGAATGAATGAATGAATGAATGAATGTTAGGTCTCAAAGTAACCCTGGACAAATTTGTAACGAAGGTGCCTATTAACATGTGGAGGCCTGCCCTCCCTGCATTCCTCAGTACCTGGGGTCCACCCAGCACTTCTCATCCTGCCCTACTCTAAAGCTCTCTCTCCCAGGGGCAGGGCTTCTGCTTCCCTTCCCCAGCCAGATCCAAACACAAGTCAACCATTTGGCTATGCCTCTGCCCTGGCTGGCAGCTCCTCTCTTGCTCTTCTCATGGTCTGCTCTGGTCAGCCTGCCATGTTTAGCCTGATTCTCTGCTCTGCCTGCTTCCTCCCTCGTATCTACAACACAAGTCTTCTCCACACTTCAGGAGTGGTCATCCACTAGGTGGGTCTCTGTTTAATGGACCCATCCTTCATCTTCCCACAAATGCTAACTACCTTAGGATCCTCATCAGTTTCTCTATCAGCTCAAACACCCCACCCTTCTAACATAAAATGTGCTTTATTTTTCTCGCCATATTTCTCCCCCTACTCAGAAACATGCCTTCAGTATGCTCCCCAATAAACCTTTCTACCAATGGAGAAGTCTGGTTTCGTGGTTTCGCTGCACCTTCGCTTACATACCCATTCAAGGAACTCTTGCAAAGTACACCACAAAAAACCAGAGCAGCTACGAACTAGAAGAGAAATCCATAGGACTTGGGGACTAAGGGACCTGAACACATGAAGAGAAAAGAATTCCCATAAAACAGTGAAGGGAGCGAACAGGACAAGGCAGAGGGAGTGCTAAGAGCAGCCTGGCCATGCAGTTAGAAAATCACCAGAAGTTTCCTCAGGAGGAGCAGGGAATGGAACTGGCAGCCAGACCATGGAACACACTGCCACGTTTGAATCCCAGGCTAGCAGATGCTGCAACATAGAAGTTCAGCTAGTGTGTCATCTGTGCCTCAGTTTCTCTTCTTTAATATGAGACAATAGCATAAGCTCAGGAGTCTCCTGGAAGAGTTAGTCCACATCCTAGCTACCGTCACTTGGACAGGAGATACCAGAAAAAACAGATTCACCTGAGGAGATGCCAAGGAGTGGGGAGGAACAGTTAGGAATCTCATCAGCCCCCTCCCTCAGAGCAGCGCTTACAGATCTTATAATTAACATAAGCCTCCTTGTCTTTCTTTGGGACTGAAAGGCTGTGGAGCCAGGTGGGACAGAAACTTCTGTCAACAGAACTCTAATGCAAAAACTGACTTTTCCTTCTCTTTTTCAGATCATGGACAAAGTCTCCTAGCATGCTTTCCCGGGATCTCTGAAAATAACACCCACCTACAGCTGCCCCATCCCACCGCCATTTGCCGGCCTCACTGCCTAAATATAAGGTTTGTTTATGTCCCCTCCATCTCCCCCTCCCCTGAAACTACAGGACTTTCAGGATATCCGCCTTGCAGCTTGCTCTGTTCTCCCTAAAACCCTAATATAATAATCGTCCTGGGGCTTCCTTCTGAGTCCACTTTAAAATTCTTTTACCCATGAGACTAAGAACTGACAGAAAGGTACCTCCCCAGATGCACATCTCTTACAGGGCGGGCATAGCAGGCAACCTTTAAGAAACTGAGGATGGGAAGATGCGAAAGAGGAACAACTATAAATATATAAAAATATAAAAAAGAAAACTCAAGAGGAAAAGCTTGTCATTAAAAAAAATAGATAAGATATCTATAGTCGTTTAAATAAAACAGATGAGACAATATCTATAGTGATGTAGGCCTGTAATTCCAGACTGGAGAGGCTGGGGCAAAAAAAGGTGTTGAGTTTGATGGCAGCTTAGATTATACAGAAAGTTCTAGGCCAGCCTCACATACACAATAAGACCCTGTATTCAAAGAAAGATAGGGCGGGGGGGGGGGGGGGGGGGGAGTAATTAGTTGGTGTGGGATATATACAGTCCACTCTTTTAACTAGATTAAAGATCTCAGAAATACGGTAACATAGGGTCTGCAGCTTCGTGTGTCTGCCCTTAAGTCCCTCTTACCTCACAGGCCCCACGCTGCTCCTCTGCACCCAATGGCTGGATCTTCTGCTGGAAATTCGTATCCGCAGCCATGTCCACTCTGAGCTTCTAGTTTTGATGTTTCTTCGTAGCAGAACCAAATTCCTCAAGAGTTACAGATGCTGAACAAGGCTACCTGGGGCACAGCAAGAGATCCTGAAGCCTGAATGATTTCAGCGGTCCAGGAGCTCTGAGACACTGGCAGTCCCTAGAAGACAAGGAATTGGTGAGGGCCCATGTGGAAGCTCACAGGTAGGCACCGCAAAGGGTACAGAAAGCCCTGCTCGTTATTAGTCAGGGGTATAAAACAGACAACAAAAGAAACAAAAATATCTAAAAACCCATCAGTTTGGATACACTTGCTGTGCTCACATTTTAACTAGGAGAGAAACAATATGCTAACCTAGTTGTTTACAAAATGAGGACACAGGTGTTTATCATAGGGAACCAAATGGCATGCCAGAGTAGGCTGACCAAGCCCTCAGCACCCGAAAGGTAGTAAACACCAACAAAAACTCAGTAAGCTGCCAATTTCATTTTGATTTTATTTCAAACAACCCTTTCAGCTACACATAGTGAGCATCAGATTTCCTTCAATTCGCTCACAGGTCACTAACTAGAAGAACAGGGGAACAGATTCAAGCTGTTTTCTTTCTAAGGAACACACTGGCCACAGTAGTAGTCAGTCTATGTAATCCCTTCTTTTAGTCCGCTTCTGAAAACAGCATTTCTGTTTCCCATTGCCCAGGGAGCTCAGGATGACAGCCAATCCTAATTCTAGTCTGAGTTTCTAAACATTTCTCTGTCCACACACAGCCATATCATGAAAAATTTACTCACCCAAACCTCACTCCCCAACACACACACACACACACACACACACACACACACACACACGAGGCCCCAAACCCTAAGAAAATGCACCAGGACCTCTCCACACTGAGCACTTCTAAGCTGTCCATGAAGGTTCTCTCCCCACCAGAATGCAGCCACTAACATAGATAAGTTCCAGTAACCTCCAACCAGTGTGGCACAGTACTGCCTCCAAGTCACTGACGTGTTCCAGGCAACTTAAACCATTCCTGCCCTAGAACCCAAAAAGATGCTTCCAGGAGTGTATAATATACTGGTGTGTGTGTGTGCGTGTGTTTATGTATGTGTGGCTGTCTGTTAGTTTTTGAGATGGAGTCTATTATGTAGCTCTGGCAGTCCTGGAACTTGCTCCTTAGACCAGACTGGCCTTGAACTCACACTGCCTCAGCTTCACCCGTATTGAAATTAAGGGCGCGCACTACCGCACCCAGCCTGATACACTGTTTTTAAGGGCTCTAAATCAGTACAAATGTTCAGGTACAAATAATATGACCCAGTTTGGAAGCACCCTCAGTTTGGTCAACTGCCAATCACTGAAACCAAAGAGAGCCCAGCACTGATGCACATAACCTCCAAAGGGTCCCCAAATGGGACCCTACAGTGGCCCAAAGAATGAGAATTTGGGCTGTGTGTGTGTGTTATTGTTGTTGTTGTTTTATAAGACAGAGCTTCTCTGTATAGCTGACTGTCTTGGAACTCACTATGTAGACAAGACTGGCCTCGAACTCACAGCGCTCCACCTGCCTCTGCCTCCTGAGTGCTGGGACTAAAAGTATGCACCACCACTGGCTGCTGGTGAGAATTTGTTTTTAGTTGTGTTTATTTCCTTCAGTAATGCTAGCCACCCACAGTGGGAGGAACTAGTAAAGAAGATCCAACAGCAGCCAACAAAAGAAATTCCTTTCTTTACAGACCTTAAGAGAGAAGTCCCTGAGTTCAGCAGCTTAGATACTAGGCAAAGCGTGCCCCGCCACGAGACAGACAGACAGACAGACACACAGACACACACACACACACACACACACACACACACACACACGAGAGAGAGAGAGAACAGTGTGACATTTGTGGCCTGATACTTTCTATTTTGGTATACTTGATGGCGTTTCTCTTCATGTACTAAGACACGACCAAGCATACGGTCACTGGCTAAGCAAACGCTGCCCCGCACAAGCACCCGACACCCGCCCCAGGCTACCTCGCTGCCTGCGCTGACTTCTACGCCTCACGGCCTGAGTGGGTCACAAGCCACCTCAGGATCCTCGTCCTGAAGCTCCCGGCTCCCACCCAGGATCGGCTCCTGCAGCGCACACTCACTGAGTCCTGCCCCGAACGTCCTGACACGACAATTTTCACGGACGACCGTGAGAATTCCCACAGGAGAGCACACTGGGAAGTGACAAAACACAGAAGACGCGGAAACCGCAAGCACGGAACGAAACCGAATCGAACGACCCCCACCTTACCCACGCATCCCCCTGCAGCCTCCGCGGCCGTTGCTCGGCACGGACCAGCGCTGGGCAGCACAGCGTCCGCCCTGCCCCGCAGTCACTCACCTCACTGCACCGCACAGAGAGCTGTGCGCACGGCCCGCCGGGCCGCGACTTCCGCCCGCGGACGCCACAGAGCCCCGGAAGGAAAGGTTCCGAGCCACCTCGCGGACCCGCCAGCAAAAGCAACACTAAAATGACTAGAACATTTAACATTTCATGGCCACTCTATTTCCGGTGTCTTTTAGATTTCCGGCAGGATTTGTCCACGCCCCGCAGGATATGAGCACGCCCCGCGCAACACTTTTGAAACCGAGCGCCTGCCAGCAGTCGTCATGGCGGTCCAGGTGGTTGCAGTTTCTCTGCAAATCGCTGTGGCGGCATCCGTATGCTCAGGAGGTTGGAGGCCACCATCCAGGAACTTCGATTCCGTACAGGCGGGGAAGCTGAATACAGTGCCATAGAGTGGAAGTTGGACGCTGTCCCACATGGTGTGACAGGCCTGACAGGAATTAATGATATTCTTAAGAGTCATTTATTCCCCTTCCTTTGCAGACCATTGAGACAATGGACCCCAGAAATAGATATCTCGTGATGGGGGAGGAGATATGCTGAAGCCAGGCGGCAGTCAGAGCTGGGACTTCTCACAGGAAAAAAATATTTCATACAATTCTGGCCACTTTGCAGAACAGACTGGAGCCAGAGAAAAAGACAGTGGGGAGTGGGGCACACCTTGGCTTCCATTTAAACCTAATTCTGCCGGGATGGGGTGTGCGGTGGGAAGGTAGCTCAGAAGTTAAGAAAGAGCACAAACTGCTAGTGCAGAGGAACCAGGTTCAATTCCAGCACCCACATGGCGGTCACAACCATCTATAAATGCAGTACCAGGGGCTATGATGCTCTCTTCTGACCTCCAAAGGCACCAGGCACACAAGTGGTGCGCAGACATACATGCAGATAAAGCACCCATACACGTAAAATAAAAATTAAAATCTTACTGGACAGAGGTGGCACGCACTTTTAATCCCAGTCTTGGGAAGCAGAGGCAGGTGGAGTTTGAGGCCAGCCTGGTCTACAGAGCAAGTTCCAGGACAGCCAAAGTACACAGAGAAGCCCTGTTTCAAAAAATCAAAATATCAAAAACTAAGTAAGTAAAATAAAATCTTGGCCAAGTGAGGTGGTACACGCCATTAATCCCAGCACTGTAAAGGCAGAAGAAGACACCTTTAATTCTGAGCCAGCCTAGGCTACATAGCAAAATATAATCCAATCCCAAGACTTCCATTTGCTATTGTGGAAAGGTGAACTATTCCCGACAGATCACTATTGTTTTGAATGGTACTTTCCCAAGTTATGTAAGATTTGGGGGAAAGAAATTATTAATGTACTAACAGAAACTCAAACTAGTAGAATAGTCTGACTAGGGTGCTGTTCACCTTTAATCCCAGCATTTAGGAGGCAGAAGGCAGCAGATCTCTGTGAGTTTGAATCCAACCTGGTCTACACAGTGAAGTCCAGGTTAGCCAGAGTTACATGGTAAGACTCTGTTTCAAAAGACAATGGAATAGAACATTAAAAAAAAACTAATAGACTGTCCATCCATGCTTCTCCAATATAGAGTGCATATGGAAATATCTAAAGACTTTCGTTAAATTTCTTCGTCTTGGTCTGTGCATATACACCTCTAATCCCAGCACTCTGCAAGCAGAGGCAGAGGGTGTCTGTCACTGCATCTCTGTTCCTAGCCTCTGCACAGACAAATTGAATACATCTTCTTTATCTGTTTTTTCCTATTATTCATTGCTTCAGTTGGTTACCAGATTCTAGCTTGCTAGGCCTTTCGGACCCAGGCTATGATGCTAAAAATCTCAGTGGCATATATTTGGAACTCAGATCTTCAGGCTTGTCAACAAGAACTTTACCCACTAGCCTATCTCACCAGCCCTCTTTTCTTTGTTTCTTTCTGCTTGTTTGTTTTCCCATTCTTTCTCTTCTTCTTTCTTTCTTTCTTTCTTTCTTTCTTTCTTTCTTTCTTTCTTTCTTTCTTTCTTTCTTTGTTGGATAGGGCTTCTCTGTATTCCAGGCTGAATTCTCCATCCTTCTGCATAACCCCACAAGTATTTCAATTACAGTCTTGTGTCACCATATCTGGCTGAAATAAACTTTCTTGTACATGACAGTTTGGAATCATTGCATGGTGACCATTGAACAAAAGTCTACTCTCATTGCATAAAGTTTTGGGGTATTGATTGTTGTTGTTTTCATATGGAACACAACAGTGTGGGACAGAGGTAGAGCAAGAATGCAAATGGGGAGAGCCAGGTCAAAGGGTTAGCGCAGAAAGCTCCATAGAATCCTTTGGCAAACCACTACACAGTACAATAACCAGAGTAAAGAGTGTTTTTTATAATTAAAAAAAAAAAAAGACTGCAAGATCCCCAGTGGCAGTAGGCAGCAGAAATGCTGTAGGTCCCAAATGGTGGTAGCAGGCCATGTGGTGGCAGGCAGCGGGCCCTAGGAGCAGCCAGTCCCAGGCAGAGATGGCTGCTGGTCCCAGGCAGGGAGACATATGGCGGGCAGGCAGAAGACAGAAACATGAATAGACACGACTTGCAGAGTGAGGTTGAATATTTATTCAGGGGGTTATGAAGGGGGAAGGGAGAAGGAGAGAGAGGTGGGGAGTGGAGAAGTGGGAGAGAGGCAGAAGCGAAGCTGCCTCTCCGAGAGGAAGATGGAAAAGAGAGCGAGCTCAGGCCAGAAGCTGAAGATCAGCCTGCCTCAGCGGATGGGGAGGGAGTGGGCGTGGCTTGTCTCTTAAAGAGACCAGGGACCAAAACCATAACAGTGTTGGCAATATATTGTCAGTATTTGGGAGTGCAGGCACAAGAAGTACACTTTTATCTGCCACCTTCAGGGTCCTAAGAAGTTCCACAGGAAATGTTTAGGGATTTTTTTTCATGCATCCAAAGTATATTGTTTTATTTTTTTAATATAATTTTTTATTGAAAAAAAAAAGATTTCCGCCTCCTCCCCGCCTCCCATTTCCCTCCCCGTCTCCCTTTTCCCCCCTCCTCCCTCTCCTCTCCCCCTCCCCCCCACTCCTCTTCCCCTCCCTCTCCAGTCTGAGGGGCAGTCAGGGTTCCCTGCCCTGTGGAAAGTCCAAAGTCCTCCCCGCTCCATCTTGGTCTAGGAAGGTGGACATCCAAACTGGCTAGGCTCCCACAAAGCCAGAACATGAAGTAGGATCAAAACCCAGTGGCATTGTCCTTGGCTTCTCAGCAGCCCTCATTGTCCGTCATATTCAGAGAGTCCGGTTTTATCCCATGCTTTTTCAGTCGTAGTCCAGCTGGCCTTGGTGAGCTCACAATAGATCAGCCCCACTGTCTCCGTGGGTGGGTGCACCCCTCGTGGTCCTGACTTCTTTGCTCATATTTTCCCTCCTTCTGCTCCTCCTTGGGACATTGGGAGCTCAGTCCAGTGCTCCAGTGTGGGTCTCTGTCTCTATCTCCATCCATCTCCAGATGAAGGTTCTATGGTGATATGCAAGATATTAATCAGTATGGCTATAGGATAGGGTCATTTCAGGTTCTCTGTCCTCAGCTGCCCCAGGAACTAACTGGGGACATCGCCCTGGGCACCTGGGAGCACCAAATCTCTTGCCAACCCTAAGATGGCTCCCTTAATTAAGATGTGTGCTTCCCTGCTCCCCTATCCGACCTTCCTTTATCCCAAACATCCCGTTTCCCAAGTTCCCCCCAACCTCCCCTTCTCACTTTTCTCTCCCCATCTCCCCTTACCTCCCTCCCCCCCCTCCCCCAAGATCCCATTTTTTGCCCGGCAATCTTGTCTACTTCCCATAATCAGGAGGATAGCTATATGTTTTCCTTTGGGATCACCTTCTTATTTAGCTTCTTTAGGAGATCAAATTATAGACTCACTGACCTTTATTTATCTCTAGAAACCAATTATGAGTGAGTACATCCCAAGTTCATCTTTTTGGGTCTGGGTTACCTCACTCAGGATAGTGTGTTCTATTTCCATCCATTTGCATGCAAAATTCGAGAAGTCATTGTTTTTTACCGCTGAGTAGTATTCTAATGTGTATATATTCCACACTTTCTTCATCCATTCTTCCATTGAAGGACATCTAGGTTGTTTCCAGGTTCTGGCTTTTACAAATAATGCTGCTATGAACATAGTTGAACAAATGCCCCTGTCATATGATCGGGCCTCTCTTGGGTATATTCCCATGTTTAGGGATTTTTATTCAAACCAAACTAGTATTTATGGTTTCTGCACTGAAAAAAATTCCAGGATTAATGGTAAAACTCAAAATTTTACCAAAGATATATTTTAACATTTATTTATGTGTATGTTTGCCTGAATGTATGTATGTGCACCACAATTGTGCCTGGTGCCCTGGAGATAAGAAGGTGTTAGATACCCTGGAACTGTGGTTACTTACAGATGGTTGACAAACATGTAATGTAAATACTAGGCCCTCTGAGATAACAAGTTCTCTTAAGCACTAAGTCATAATGCAGAGAGACTCAAACCAATTTGTAATGATATTTCATTTGTATTTTAATAAATAAAGCTTGCCTAAAAACAAGAATGCAAAACAGCCACAATAATCAGCCATACAGACCAGGCAGTGGTGCCACACACCTTTAATCCCAGCAGCCACACTAGTCAGCCATAGAAGCCAGATGGTCATTGTGCACACCTTTAATCCTAGCACTAGAGAGGAATATAAAATAGAAGGAAACAGGTCTCAGGCTCAGTCTCATCATGAGGATTCATGGAGGCAAATCGCCATTTTGGTCTGAGGTAGAGGTAAGAGCAAGTTTTTGATCTTCAGGTTGAACTGTGATATGTGTCTCTGGATTTTTATCATTCATGCTACATTTTGCGGCCAATGTTTGGAGTATGAATTCATGAAAAAGCCATTTACCTTAGCCGTTTAAAGCCGCCAGCATAGGCCAGAGCTGCACGGGGGGGGGGGGGGGGGTGCTCTACCTCCACCTGGCCAGGATTTCTTTTATGTTTTCCCCAAGCCTCTGACTGAGTTTGGGATTTTCATGTTGTAGCCTCTCTGAAACCATCCCCAGAAGCACCTGGGCTCTGAACAACACAGGACTCACCCACCCTAGACTAGCTGGGTTTTCCTTCAGGCAGCCACCTGCCACAAGCGCTCTTTCTGAACAATCCCCTGTGCATTTTTCAGACTGCCTTCTCTCTCACACATTTCCCCCCCTCCTC